TACTGAACTGATCAATAATTAACATATTTCTTGAAATATTCTGGAATATATCTCCAGAATAAAAATAAATCAACTTATAAGGCACCACTCATAATAGTCTGCGTTGAGTGTGTAATAGATGTGTCCGAATATGCATCTTTAAAAACTAAAGATATTTTTAAATTTTCGTGTGGTGTCTAAAAAATTTATGAAATACATTAAAAAATTCTCAATAAAATTAGATCTATAAATCAAAAAAGACAAAAGAAGGACGGACTTTGGCCCATCAACCCAAATTTGTGGGTCCAAAAACAGCTTTCATTACCTTGGCCCATGACATGAACGTATCAGGAACTCCAATATCATTGAATTGCATCATGAAAAGAAGAATATGCATGGACCACAGTATCTTTATGAACCAAGACAAATTACAATAAAGTACCATCATGAATAATGAAAATTTCGACAAACATTATTGACAAAAAAAAATGGAGAAAATAATATCGATAACAATGATTATGTCATGTACCCTATTTAGGTTGCATAACAATAGTATCGCAAAAACTACATGAAGATGATTAGTAGTACTTGCTCTACAATTTCTTTTAAAAAATGAAAATGCATAAAAATAATTTATCACCAATATTTTCAAAAACATTTTTTCCTCTTTATCCTTATATAAGTAGTTAGGTGTGTTTAAATACATTTAACGAATTGTATTAACTTATATCGGTAGGAATTAAGTGTTATTGAGACATTTGACAAATTGTATTAATTTTTTTCTTTGGTTTGTTCCTTAATTTGATAGTTCAAAACTTTTTTAGTTCATCGAATCAAGGGTTTTCAAAATTAAATACGAAGATTTGTCACGTTCGATTCAGTCAAGTAACATATCAATTTTAATTTCTTAAACTTTCAGATCTTTGATTTTCACACTTCTCGATATGGATGGATTCAAGACTACTCACTCTGCCATGACACGAGAAGTTGATGTTGTTGTCACAACTCAAGCATCGATAAATCAACCACATCACTTTCTTCACAAGGTATTGTGAATTCAATAGTGGAGGTTATGTTCCATCCAGATATGCTTCAGGTTCCTCAAATAGCTAGATTTGTCCAAGTATCTTCAATTGGACCTTACAGAAAATCACACACCACATGTAGCTTGCTAATCACATCTTTGCTTTCTAACTTCATAGATGCTAATATGATAAACAATGTAGCATCTTCCTTCACGAACACATCTACTTGCTTGGCCGACACGGACAACTCATCACTTGCATCAAACTCTGGAAACAACTCCGTCTTATTTAAACAGTTGATATGAACACGGTTGAAATCCAATCAGTTCATTTCAATGATACCATCGAGATTCCTCAAAGGTATACATACTAAATCCTTCCAAAAACTCTTATCATAAATAGTAGACAATTTAAACAAACCACGAGAGTTGACCATAAATCATCATGCCTGAAGGGCTGACCGTCATGCCTTTATTTGACCGATTTTAGGTTGTTCGGCTCAATTTTTTGAGTGGATTATGTTTTTGATGTTTATTCGATGTTGTTTTAATGTTGTTGATGATTTTTTACAAGTGTTATCGAAAAGTTATATAATTAAATTATTATGTTGAGTTATGCTGAGAGGTTTGGTTCAAATAGGACCATTGTTGTGGCCTTGTATTGGCAATGTTCATGCTGATTTTTAGGTTATAGAGGAACCAATTATGAGTATTGAAGTTGGAAGTTTGAGACGAGTATTGTATTTGTTTGTTGTATTCATGCTTCATGTATATTAGAGATAGGTATGGACTTTGGTCCAGTGACATATCTCATGTTCAGATAGGGACATTTGACGAGTCTGATGGTTCATAGAGGAACCTGTAATGAGTAAAATGGTTCAGAGAGGAACCATATTCAAAGAGGAATCAATGACGAGTGAAATAATCAGCAATATATCTATGATATCCAAAACATTGGTACCACGTGCATTGGAGTAGAGGAGATGAATACATTGTATACATAACCACATTTGTGATTGATCATTGTTATGGATCATTTATGTGATTAATGATTGATATTAATTGTATTATCCTTATTATTTTATGCATCGTTAACATATGTGAATCTATTCTCACCCCTTGTTTATTTGTATGTGTTATTCTTTACGTCTGTGGTGCAAATACGCGGATAGAAGAGTCTTAGTTGCTATTGTATTTTGGAGGATGGTGTAGTGACCTTCTTCATAATTTATTGCTTTTAAGTTTATTTTAGTTTTTGCATGCCGTTCTGGTAGTGTAACACTGGGACGTGTTACCTTTCTATTTTGTGTTTTGAGGATTATTGAACTTCTTCTTTTATGACTTGAAATGAAGTTAATTATTTAATAGACAATTAAAGTTGAGTTATTATTTTTCATTTCCGCTGCTATAATATGATAATTCAGAAAGATGTTAATGGTGAGAAAATGTGATACCCTGTTTTTGAGTAAATTATCTGTATGTTTTATAAAATAAGTGTTCGAAGTTTTAGGGTGCTACATTAGACTTAGTGGCGGTATCTCTCGTGTTATTATTGGTCTTATAGTTCCCCTTGGAAGAGTTTGATACCTTTTAAAGTGTTTGTCTTTTCTTGACAGTTTCTTCAAGATAGAATTTCCACTATAAATGACATGTTTAAACGTCAGGTTTTATTTGGACCCGAAGACATCTCTTGTACTTTATGTTTAGGTGTTCTTGAGACATCTTCTCATTTTTTTTAACCTTTGGGGTTTTAGCTATTTTGTGGGGGAAATTTTCCAGGTGGCTTGGTTGTTGTTTTTTTCCTTATGATCTTTCTTCAATTTTATAAATTATTAGATTCTTAAGGGTTAATCGTAGATTTAAATTTGGTTTAATTATGATTTGTCGTGTTGTGGTTTGACCCATATATAAACCTTTGAAATGACTCCATATTTTCAAGAAAGTCAGTAAACGAGGGAGGATTTTTTTATCAATGCATTTTCTTTTCTTGGAAGTCGTATCATGACAAGTTGCCTGAGTACTCTTTTTCCTACTATGAGTGGCGAAAGGAATCCATTCCTAACATAAGTTATTAGTAGTTTGATGTTTTGTTGTCTGATATGTGACATTGTTGTTGTTGAAAATTGTCTAGTTTAGCTTGATTTTGGTTCTCTTTTGAGATGGTTATGAGTTATCACCCTTGTTAGGTGTAAGGATCTTGGATTCTTGTTTTATCAATGGGTGGTTTTGTTGTTATCATTTCTTGTTTTCTCCTTTGCTTTTATTTATTTTTGGTTTCAACTTTGGATAAAATGAGAGGATTATGTTAGGAATCTGATTGCCAACGCAAAACTTTGTTAAATATCCATGGTCCAAATACGTAATAATGTGAATGTTAGGTCATTGTGGTATGGATTGGGTACAATGTCAAATATGCAAGGACCGCTACAGGGGGGGGGACAAGCTTTGGAATATAGACTATATGACGTTTACAAGATAATATATGTAAATAACATGCAATATAATTAGGCGAAAGATTAATTTTATGTGCCTACAAGAAACTAAGTGGGCGTATAAAAAAGGAGAAAGAGTAAAACAAATTGGGTTTAAGCTTTCGTACACTGCAAAGTTATATCATGAAATAACATGAGAATTAATTTGGTCAAGGAGTGGAAGAAAGATGTTGTAGATGTAAATAGAAACTAAAATTTAATGTCACTTGTATTAGGATAATTTTATTGAACCATAAAAAACACATCATGACAAAAATAAACTATATGTAGAAATTTTGGGTAAGCACTCGGAACAAGGTCTAGGGTAAAGGTAGAGCGAAAATGTTCAAAGAAAATTAAATGTCAAAAATATTTTCAAGAATGGTTTAATTGTAAAAATACAAAAGCATAGAATAATAAAAATAAAAATAAAAATAAAAAGAACCAGACCAAAAAAGCGGTGAGCAAATCAGTGAGCAAATCAATAACTCAGATTTTAATAGATTATATCAATACTAAGGAATAAGAAAAAGGAAAATTATATATAAGCTTGTTAATGTAATAAAAAAAGACAAGATTTGGATCAAATAAAGTAAGTATGTTAAAAATTAATAAAAGACAGTTTTACTACAATAAAAGGACATAAAGATAAATGGAAAAAATATTCTTACAATTTACTCAATGAATAATGAATAATATGATCCTAATATGTTGGACACTAGAGAAGAAATTGTCAAATTCAGAAACTCAAAATATGAGAAGCATTGAAAAAGAATGAGTAATATGTGGTTAGGTCAAAATACGTACCTATTAAAGTGTAAAAAATTGTAAAATAATTCTTAGAAATAAAGGCAGTGAACGGATCACAAAGTTTTTAACAAAATTTTGAATAAAAGTGAATTTCTGATGATTGAAGAAAAACACTTTAATATTGATTTATAAGAATAAGTGAGATATACAATATTAAGAAAATTATAAGAGGAGTGATAGAGAGACTAAAAATAGATCACAAGTTACAGATAACCAAATTAATTTCTTGCTTAGAAGATCGATCATAAAAGCAATACATTTACTATAATGTGTGATGGAGAGAAATCAAATAGTTTTCATTGACTTGAAGAAGTTTGGAGAAGCATGCAATAGAGTACCTAGAAGATGACGTACCATAGAATCGCCGGAGAAATGTTTGAAGAAAACTCGCTTACTTCGCTAATTTACTCACCATCTTACATATGCTCGCTGATACAATTTGTGCAGATTAATTAAGTAAAAGTACTTTATTAATCAAAACATAATAGTTAATTTTAACTTCCAAAAATAGGTTTTTGAAAAAAAGGAGCAAACAAGTGCATTAAACAAATAGTCCCATGAATAAAGTTTGAGATAAGTTTCTAAGAGCTGAATCCATCAACAACTCATTTCATGAAATAAAAGTCACACTTCAATATCTAACTTGAAGCTCTGATTTATTCCATAATTCATTGACGGATGGATGGATGAATGTGAACAATTCCATGAAGATGTTCTTAATTTTCTTTAGAAGCAATTGCCCTCTTGGCAAAAGATGGCAAACAGAAAGCTGCTGAATGAATCTGAAATAAAAACAAAAAAATTCAAGAATTTAAATTCAGAAAAGAAAATGAGAGAACAACAAAAACACAGTTCTGAGTGTTGAAGTTGAAATCCGTACAGAGTCCAAGCGGATCCAACTCATAGGGCCACTAAAGTTGTTGCTTTAGAGGCCTTATTGGGGTTTGGACCGACTTTGAGGGGAGTTTCAGGTAAGGGAAAGTGAAAATGGTTCGTGCAGTATACCTCACGGTTGTAAAATTTCAATGGTCTTGCCGCCTGCTGGTTATCATTCTCATCAATAGGATTCACTGGATGCTTGAAATCAACGGAAGGCCCCTCAGTTGAGCAAAGCATAAAACCAATCATCCCACTGGAAAAGGAGAAATAAAAATAGAAGAACCGTTAACAAATATAATCATATCCCTAATCCAAAAGCATGTTATACAACAAAATATTGGCAAATTGACCTGTAGAACACACAACCTAAGCATATGTAAATGGGAAAGTAGAAATAAAATTATGAAAGAACATACCTTGGGTATGTAGGAACTGTGGTCCAAGCATAGTTGATAGACCCTTTGAATACCTGGCGACAGTTCCCCACAATGTCCTCAATGATGTGCATATGAAGCCATATACTTTCCGCTTGAGTACACACAACTCCTCCTGGACGAAGGGCCCTTGCAACTAACTCAAAAAAGGGCTTTTCAAAAAGCTCTTGAGCAGGGCCTAAACAATACCAAATATAAAATTAACAAGAAAGGCATTATATTAACTGTAAAGACCATAAAATTATAAGGCACCTCCGATATACCCTACCAATAGGATCAGATGAATCCACTATCACTGCATCATAAGATCCTTCTGGAGCTGCCTTCAAAAATGCAACTCCTAGAACATTGAGAGACAAACCATCATTAGAAATGTTATCCCATAATAGAGAAGTGTTTAAGAAACATCAAGGAATGTGGAGGGTAATTGATCATACCATCACCGATATTAAGTGTCACACGTGGATCAGCAAAACCTACAGCTATTTCAGGGAAAAATTCTTTGGAGACATCAACAACCATCTTGTCTATTTCGCAAATGTCTATCTTTTCGATTGAAGAGTGGCGTGCAACTTCTCGCAAGACTCCCCCATCTCCTCCACCAATAACCAAAACCTAACAAAAAATCAGTAAGGAAAGAACAATTAACTTTGTACACTTGGAGTTATGGAGGTAAATGGTCTAATATTTTCCTGCTTCCAGCATTCCATTCTCAAGAGTGATTCAGATAAGTCATCATATCTCAGAGTCAGATGCCCTCCTACTCTCTTCAACATATAACACTCAAGTGTTGTCAAACAGAAAATATAGTGGCACTATAGCACTATAGCATAGTAGAATTTTAACAAACAGCTATTACTCCACATGACATGATTAAGTATGAAGTCATATCAAATAGCGGCCGTGACAATTCTATAGCGGAATTTCACCAACGAAAATTTCCTTCAATCTGCGATTGACAACACCACAACAGTCTGCACTCTTCTCAAGAAAAGCCAAAGCAACCTTAAATGTAAAAAACTAATGTAGGTAAACTAATGTCTGCTACGCTGAATATAAACCAATTGTGCAGCAAGAGCCAGCACGGTGTTGGGCACATTAACATTTTATGTATGTAATCAAAACAAGCCTTTCATTCTTAAATTCTTCTAAGCCACCTTCATATAATGTTTAAAATAAAAACATACAATGCCTTTAAATTGGCATCCTGAAAATTTTGTTAAACTACATAAAAAATTCTATGACAATACAGGCAAACTATACATATACGAAATTTCCTAGAGGGATTTGAAGTATAAAATACCTTTTTGGGGTTTGGAATAGAGCAAAGAGGAAGATGAGTGATCATCTCTTGGTAGGCACACTCATCTCTTTCTGTGAGCTGAATCACTCCATCCAAAATAAGAACCTTCCCATATGTTGCAGACTGTAAATTGAAAGCAGACGTTGTAAATAAAAATCGGACTACAGAGGGAATACATTTTCAAACTTAACTGAATCTAACATGTACCTGGAAGACCATAACATCCTGATAATCAGACTTTCCTTGAAACAAAATTTTTTCCACTTTCAAGGAGTGTGCTTCCCCTGCAAAAATGAAGCAAATTCATGAGTATTTTACAGAAGACAAGTATGAATTTTCTGAGCTATTAAAAAACTATTGTACAGTATGCATGTATTTCTAATACGAAATTTCTTATGTGTTGTAAAACTTGATGCCTTAAAGAACACCAAATAAATTGAAAAAACTACTTATGTTACTGCCAACAGATGCATATTCAACCAATAAATAAACCATACCAAAGGTTTTGCAGTGTGAAAAAAAAAATGATAACAATGAGTAATGAATGACAAAGCAAAGGAAGTGGAAAGTTTAATCATCAGAGACAATATTGTATTCAGAACCTCTAAATCAAATTTGCAATGAGAAAGAACCTACAACTAGTGGAAAAGTTAAACACTCTACCACTGAGCTGCTTAAGAACAGAAGGTAATTGAATCTTAGAGTTCAGTCCCCATTTTCAACCCATGAACAATACGAGATCAATATTTCTCTCACAAGAGCCATGAAACATCTTAGCATTGGCTCTATCCATGGCTCATTTAATAGAAAACCTCCAAGTGGCACTATATCTTATACATAAGCACATATAAGATAAAAGGGTATGCTATTAAGTGCTTAATTGAGTTGTTTATCCAAAAAGTGCCTAAATTATTCAAAATGTGAAGATAAATTTGAGAAGTGCAAACCATTACAAAGCACAGACAAACCAATCAAGTATGTACTATCTGCTAAGCCCTTAAAGCCGCACACAAACCCGTGTCTGTATATTCATACAATCAAGAAAATATATAAAGCCTAAACTCAAAGCAGAACTTCCAAAATATGCCAAGACAGCTAATCCATCTTACAACATAAAATAAAATAAAATAAAATAACATAAAGGATCTTAGATCTAGCATCCTTAAATCAAACAGAAAGGGGCTAGTAACTCCAGAACCAAAATAATAATAATAATCATAACCATATCATAAATAACAGAACCTAAAAACACAATCATAACCATATCATAAATAACAGACCCTAAAAGCATACTCATAACATAACATAAATAACAGAACCTAAAAACATAATCATAATCAGAACAGGACCACAGAGAATTGATACTTTCATGATATCATAAAGTAAGATTCTGTGCAAACCACAAACAATAACAAAAAGTAACACTTAAACCTAAATTTCAGTTTTCACGACAATAAAAACAACAAGCTTAAAATTGGGAGTGTCAATTGAATAATGGAGCTAGAAATGGTGAAAATTTCGGGAAAAAAACGAAAAATGTGATGAGAGAAAACAAACCTGGCCACATTGGGCTAATTTCAGAGAACCAGCCAGGAATAACAGATGATAAACCATTAGGTTGGGGTTCCATGGAAAGAGTAACGGAGACACCGTTTACTCCATCTTCTCTTGGCCTCTTTAAGGGAGAATCTGTGGAGTGAAGTGTGTTTTCTGGTGCCGCCATCTTTGCAATGAGTAGGGAAGTTGCTCGCTTTGTGCCCTTCTTGTGCTTTATATTTATACTCACAGTCACACACGTCGCATTTCTTTTATTTTTCACCCATCAATCATCTACTTATAATACTCATCAATCATCATTGTTCTTATCAAGGTTAATTTAATTTATTGTTGAGGTAAATTTAAGTTTTACTATTATTCTTTTCTTTAACTATTGAATTTGTTGTTTTATATATATATATATATATATAAAATATCCTTTAACTTTATCTTTAGGTTCAAATTGGTCTCTTAATTTTTTTTGTCAGATTGATCCCTTAACTATTTAAAACGTGCTATATTGATCCTTTTTGTCTAATTAGCACGAATTTAGCGATGAATTTTTAAATTTTTTTCGTCTCTAATTAGAACGAAAAGAATCAATATGACACATTTTAAAGACTCAAAGGATTGATTTGATACAAGAAATAATTAAAGAACCAATTTAAACCTAAAAATATAGTTAAAAGAATATATATATATATATATATATATATATATATATATATATATATATATATATATATATATATATATATATATATATATATATATATATATTAAAATTGACGGATTCACATAAATTGAAATAAATAAATAGTACTACTATTTTATATTTTTGAGTCAAGAATAATATTTTAATAAGTTATTAATGAGTAGTAATAATTGGTGTGTTATTTTTTTAAGATACATCGTTACATAAACATTTATTTGATAAAAAAGATTTGTATAAAGTTATTTTCTAATATATCACTAAAATTATTAAAATTTGACATTAATTTTGTGTATATATATATTAAAAATACCACTTAAATATTTAGGAATATGAAAATTCAACATTAAATATATAATTGAAGGGATCATATTTTCTATTTTGTATAAATTCACATTTTATTTTATCCTTTTAAACATGATTTTTCACTCGGTTGAGAATTTAGTCAGGTTTAGACAATTTCGAGAATGGAGATACTTTGTGGTTTATCAGTTTGAGTATAAGAGGGTGGTATCTTTCAACACTCTTTCGTCCAAGTCAGTGATTATCAAATGTAATAGATATTTAAATTAGAAAATCGTGTGTACCTTGATTTGACAAATATCGTTCATTATATATGGGTTTTTCTAGGGTTTTTGAAGACCTAGAATCTTCAGATGTAAAAATATCATCAGATAGATAGATTTTAGAGTATAATTCATTATGTCATATAATAGTTTTTCTTCAATCATTTGCTCATATAATGTGTTATCCTATGACAAGTTCATGTTTGAACTCGAGGTCCTGGAACCTTCCTTTGATTTACAATTATGGATACGACATTTTCCCATAACCTCACAAATTTAACGTCCCTAGGGGTATGTCGACATAAAGGTCTCTTGCTTTTTATTGGGCTTTGCACTTTTGGACTTCATATGCTTTTGGACCATGAAAATAACCATGATCTGGTTAGGAACAACTCCCCCTCCCCCAAGTGTATCTTGTGTATCCTGGGTGTGACTTGTGATTTTATGTCATTTTTACCTACACCATCTCGACCTTTGTGTCATTTGACTTCTATCGAGCTTCGAGTCATTTAATTGGTATTTTATTTCGTTATGTCATAAAGAGAAGAGTTTGATATGATTTATTTGTTGTACTTTGAGTTTGGATTCCGAAGTAGATCTCTATGTGTTGATTTATAATCGTCTCTTGGTCTTGATCAAAGCATCATTAGTGGAAAATTGTGACGAGGAGAGCTTGCTTAGAAGGTGAATGTCAATTTAGGTTATTTTCCTTTCTTGATTTTGTCACTTAGTATGACATGATGTACATTTATCATGTCTATAGGGTTCTTAGGTAGGGCATTCTCTCCTCTACGTGGTGAGTATGATCATTGAGACATGGGAAAATGCATCTACATTGGCTTGCTTGTGTCAAGTGTTGTTTGGTGAATTCTACTTCATGTCTAGGGATCTTATATAAGTAAAACTAGTTTCACTCATTTTGAACCTTTTGTTTTCTTAACTTTCTTGGGATTAAATACCTTAAATTGTTCTTGTTGCTTCAACTTCCTACCTTCATCTCCAGTGATTAATCTTTTTTGGCCTGTTTCTTTACTTATTTTCAAATATTTATTTGATTTCTTGCACTTTTCTCATACTTTTTCTGGGCGTCGATTATTTTCTTTTAATGAGTTTTTTATAGAGACTGTAATTTTTAGGGTTTTAAGTAATGTTTTGCTCGATACTAGAATCTATGAGATTTGAACATATGATCCATTTTATAAGCTTTAAATTTTTAAGGTTTTATAGGGGAATATTGTTCTGATATACCCATTTTCCTTGAACATATAACTATGGGTGGTTCTTTGTGGTTTCTTCCTAGTGGATTCATCATCCAAAAAAGGGCATATGGTTGGCAGTGTAAATAAAAGGTATCTAGGTTTTGATGCTCGAACCTCCTTCGGCGAACCCGAGGATTAGGCCATGATCCTTCCTAGTCCATATAATTGAAAATGAAGATTGATTCCTTTATGTTGATTCTCTATGCATGATATTATTTTTTGGATTATGGATTTCGTTGTCCTTTACATCATTCGAGTGAGGAGAAGCCTCCTTTATATATGAGAAAAATTAGCTCAAAATGGAAACAAATAATAGGTTGAATAAATGGCCTAATATTGAACAATTTCCTAATCAATTGGCTAAGCTCCAAAATCATTTTTGGTGATTTTAATCTTAGGTGTGTGTGTGTGTGTGTGTGTGTGTGAGAGAGAGAGAGAGAGTGAGCGTGAGCGTGTGTGCGACGTATGTGTGTGTGTGTCTGAATTGAATTAGTATCTTAGGATTTACTCTCTTACTTTCACAAGACTCTAATCACTCAGACCTACACGACCATGCGAGCTTTCACACTTACTCTCTTTCACAACTCTGAAACTTTCAAGTTTCTTTACCAGATATGCCTCTTATATAAGCAATTCACTGGAACCTTAAATATTCTACTTGATGAGACTTGAGATATCTTTAAGTTAATCACCATCATTAAAGAGTTGGGATGATATCACCACTGACTTCAACAATTCTCATCATTGTTGTCATCAAAACACTAGGAAGGTTGTCATCAGGATCATCAGTTTCATATCTGTAAGTACATAGATCCACATTATCCCTACTTTTTTATGATGACAACACGTCTCTTGGAAAGGTGGTAAAATAAATAACGGGTATATCAAATTTGGAGTGGTTAAACTCCCTCCCATATGAGTAGAGAGTATACTTTACTCCCTCTAAGAGTATACTTCTTTCTCTTTGGCATAATCAAAAAGGCGCGAAACAAATATATCAAATAGATCACATATAATCATTTAGAGAAAGGGAGGATGAAGAAAGAGAAAAGGCACATAAGCATATTAATCCATGCATGATTGACTTAGGATTCCTAGTTCAGTTCTTATGGAATAAAAAAAATCTTTTTTTCTGAAGTAGTTTTGTAAAAATATCTACGCGTTGATAAGATGAGGTTACAAACTCAAGTATGTAATCCCCTTTTTCAATACAGTCCCCAACAAAGTGGTGCCTAACCTCATTGTGTTTATCGGGACAACTCCAAGATTAACATTGTAGTTTTATCCTTATAATCTAATAGAAACAACTACCTGCAATAATGTATTATGCCTCAATTGTGGATAGCGTGACACTAGTGTTGCGGTGACAATCGTGATACCAAGCTATTGATTAACTTGAATCTTAATTCTTAAATTCACAACCGGACTTTAATTTATCCAAAGGAAAGGTCTAAAGAAAGAAAGAACCTTTTGCACGATGTAACAACAACGCTAAGAGATTCAGGGATCGTGGGTTGGTTATGCCTAGGGTAGGTATTTCACATCCTAAACATCTGCAGTACCCTACAGGAACCTTTTGTTTGTTTGTATGCTAAGTTTGCTAAATGCTTTCTATGGATTGGGGTTGGGTAAAAGGTGTAGGTAAAGACCTAAAGATAGTTTCTAAGTTTGCTCGCAAAGACATCGCGTCCTCTACCTACATATCCTTACTAGGATAGAATCAGAGCAATCGTAATTCACCTCACTAGGGATGAAGAACACTTGATTATGATCAAGGTTCCAAGGGGAACAAACATATCCATGCTTGTGTAGAGTTTATCCAAACTCTCTATATCTACATTGTACACTCAAGAAAGGGGAGTAAGTAATCATTTTCATGATTCTTACATAGAGTTAACAAAACTCTACCTAACTCTACATTGTAAGACCAATTGGTTCTATCCAGACCAAAAAGAGGAAGAAGGGGGAAAGTTACTCGTCAAGATATCGCATCTTGTGCCTACGTATTCTCATTGTCCAATGAGAAATCAGAGCGGTCGTAGTTCGGGCACGAACTACAGAATAAGGATCAATTGGTTCTTTCCAGACCAAAAAAGGGAGAAGGTTCTATCCAGACCTATGAGTTTAAATCCTATTGGTTCTATCCGGACCAAAAGGGGAGAAGGTTTTATCCAGACCTATGAGTTTAAATCCTATTGGTTCTATCTAGACCAAAAGGGGAGAAGGTTATATCCATACCTATGAGTTTAAATCCTATTGGTTCTATCCAGACCAAAAGGAGGAGAAGGTTCTATCCAGATCTATGAGTGTATTGAGCTATCTATGACCCAAGGGCCAATAGAAAGACTTTCCTTTGGAAGGGAAAAGATGAGGCAACTTGGATAAGAACTAAAGAGTTCCATCACTTGGGGAAAGTAAACTTAACAAAGCATAAACATTCACACATGATGAATATAAGGGATATGGTTACAACCAAGAACAAGCAAGCATATTACAATATCAATGCAATAATTTCAATCAAGATAAATGGTTACGACCAAAGCAAACATCAAGATATTACGATATCAATGATTTCAATCAAGATAAATGGTTACGGCCAAAACAAACATCAAGATATTATAATATCTAGAAGGGGAAAGTTCTTACAAGA